CGCACCCCCCCGGCCCGGGGGGTGGGGAGGGGGACACGCAGCGCTCGGTGCCGGGTCCCACCCGCGCCCCTTTCCCTGCGCTGCTCCCAGCCCCGGGTTTGTCTCCCAGGCCTGGGAATTCCGGGCTGCTCCCCCTTTCCAGCTCCTGAAATCCCCCCGGGGGGGAGGGTCCGGCCTGGCCGTGCCCCCCTCCCGCGGGTGAACCCCCCCCCGCCGCCGCCCGGGGCCTCCCGCCCCCGCCCGCTCCCGTTACCTGCCCGGGAGCGCCGGGAATTGCGGGGATCGGGAATTGCGGCACCTCCCGGCCCGCCCCGCCTTGCGAAACCGCCCGCAGGGGTTCCTCTTCCTCCCCCGGAGGAACCGAACCGCCCCGTCCCGCTCCCAAATCCCTGCTCCGCCTTGGGGCGTTCGGGATTGACCCCGTCCCGACCCCTCGGAGCGCCCCAAAAAGGGCCGGGATGCGCCGACCCCCCTCCCCCGGCCCGGGGGGGCTCCCCCAGCGCCCCTCCCGGGGCCCGTCCGAGCCTTCCCCAGACACAAAGGTGCTCATTGTGCCGCCGGCAAATCCCTAATCCCGCGCTGGGCCCGCGCCTGGCCTCGCTGTCCCACCGGGAATTGCGCTGGGATCGGCCCCGGGATGCGGACACGGCGCTCGGGAGGGGAACTGTGCGGAGGGGGCTTCTCCCTGCGCCCCCCGGGGCTGTGCCCGTCCCGGGGCGGGGGGTCCGGGGCCTGGAGCCCGGAGCTCTCTCGGGCTGTCCCAGGAATCCGGGCTGTGGTCATCGGGATCGGGAGCAGGGCCTGAGTTAATGTTCACCCACTGACCTCTGACTGCAGGAGCAAAGTCCGGAGCTCGGCAGCTCCGGGGGGATTTCAGCGGCCCGGGGGGGCTCGGCCGGGGGCTCCCTGGGAGCTGAGGTGGAAATCGGGGGGCCGGGGGTGTTGGTGGGATCCCCCCGGGGTGGGATCGGGGCCCCGCGGGGGTGCCGGTGCCCCCCTCACCTCCCCCTTTCTCTCCCACCCCCCCCAGCATGTTTCAGACCTTGTACAGCTATTTCTGGTGGGAACGGCTCTGGCTCCCGGCAAACCTCACCTGGGCCGACCTGGAGGACCGGGATGGGCGAGTCTATGCCAAAGCCTCCGACCTGTACATCACCCTCCCCCTGGCCTTCCTCTTCCTCATCGTCCGGCACCTCTTTGAGACGTGAGTCCCTGCCCTGAGCCCCTGAGCCCCTGAACCCCTGGCTCTGTGTCACCTGGCCCTCAGCCTGGCTGGGGGGTGCCTGTGGCACCCCGGGGGTCCCATCGGCCCCCTCCCCAAACCACGTGCCCCCCACACAGATGGGGCTTTGTGCAGCCCCCGCCACCCTTATCGGGCCCAGGCGGCATTTAAGGAGCGATTTGTTGGGCAAACAATGGGAACAGACCCGGCTTTGTTGGGATGGCAGGAGAAGGGAGAAGGGGGGGCCCTTCAGCGGGGCGGGGATGGCCCCGTCCCCCACCCTGGGGTGACACAGGGACCTGGGGGTGGAGGGTCCCCTGTGGCAAAACCCACCTCGGAGAGGGCACGGCAGGGCGGGGAAACTGAGGCACTGAGGGGTCGTGAGTCACCCTGGGGTGGCTTTGGGGGGGGGGCCCAAATCCCACAGGTGACAGAGGTGGGGACAAACATCCCCCTGCTCCTTCCCCAGGTACGTGGCCACCCCCCTGGCCGGGCTCCTGAACGTCAAGGAGAAGATCAGGTTAAAAGCCACCCCCAACGCTGTGCTGGAGAAGTTCTACGCCTCCACCTCCAAACACCCCAAGCAGGTGAGGGGTGGGGGGTGGCCGGGGGTGGGGAGGGGGAGGTGAGCAGCAGGGCCGGGGTCCCCGTGGTGACATCCCCGCTGTCCCCAGGCCGACGTGGAGCTGCTGTCCAAGAGGAGCGGCTGCTCCGTGCGGCAGGTCGAGCGCTGGTTCCGCCGCCGCCGCAACCAGGACCGGCCCAGCCTGCTCAAGAAGTTTCGGGAGGCCAGGTGAGACCCCTGCCCGGTGTCACCGTCCCCCCACGGCAGGGAGGGGGCTGGGAGGGCACCCTTTTGGCCGGGAGCCACGGTGGGAGGGTGGGCTGGGTGGGGTGTGGGGCCGGTGGGTCCGTCCTCCTCCCTCCCTGCCCCCCCGTGCCCGTCTGAGGACCGTCTGCTTCCTTTTTCCAGTTGGAGATTCACCTTTTACCTTATTGCTTTCATTGCTGGCATGGCTGTCATAGTGGATGTAAGTATTGCCCACCCACCCCCAGCAGTGCCTCGTCCCCCTGGGCCCCCTCCCCTCTAACACCCCTGTGTGTCTCCCCCTCCCCATCCCACAGAAACCCTGGTTCTACGACCTCCGGGAGGTGTGGAAGGGATACCCCATCCAGGTGAGCTCCTGATCCCACCCCCGGCATCAGGGTCAGATTTGGGAACTGGGGGTGCAGGGGGGGGTCTCTCTGGGGTCACTCAGTGTCCCTGGCACCCGTGGGGGTTTGGGTGGGGCAGGTTTGCTGAGGGGGGCAGAGGGTCCCCAGGACTCTGTGCCCATGGAAGGGGATCAAACCCCTCTGGGGGACCCAGAGCATCCCCCCAAGCTGCCCCTTGCCCTCCAGAGCATGCTGCCCTCCCAGTACTGGTACTACATGATCGAGCTCTCCTTCTACTGGTCCCTGCTCTTCAGCATCGCCTCCGACGTCAAGCGCAAGGTGGGCTGGGGGTGGGGGGTCTGGGAGGGGGGTGCACACACTGGGAATGGGGGTGAGGGACCAGTGGGAGAATCCAGGGACACGGAGGGGA